AATGGCCTACAAGAAATGGTCAACAACAAATGAAAACAAAAGTAACTACCCAGGAATTACATGGAGAGAACAGAAAGTAACTTCTTCCTGGGATTCTGAGCAAAATTTTCTAAGAGGAGGTAAATATTCTAAAATGGGAGGCTGAAACAGATCCCTGCCCAGAAAGCAGCAAAAACTAAACCCAGCGAACAGAGAGGAAGAAAGTGGCTTATGCCGATGATTCTCAGTATGTAGAGCCGGACTTAGGGCAATCACAAATATCAAACTTGGATTCTGTGGAGGGAAGAACACAGCAGTACTAAAGGATCTGGGACAGAACAGGACCTAGGAGCATGGTGTAAGGACGGAGGGATGGAGGGATAAAAGGAGCAGAGTAGGGAGAACTGAGGATCACTTAAATGGCTGAGGCTGAGCCAGGTGTCAATACCAAAATGAGAGATTCAGAGGACAGATTCAGACACACACACTCACACACACACACACACACACACAATCAGGAGTGTGAGCAAACCCACAGGGGACCCCAATCAACAAGGCTTTGTGATAGCTTCAGAGACAAGAGGGCATGAAATGACATCTCCAATAAAGTCCACAGGGTCATTTTAGAAATCCTGAAAAAGACAAAAGCCCCGGAAAGTGACAATTCTACATATTCTGTACCCATCCAATTTCTTCTTTTACTGATACTTGGTTTTATCCACGTACACATTTTCATTTTAGAGAACTGGCATTTTTATTTTAGAGAGCTTGAAAATGCTGTTCTTTTCACTAAATGTTGTAACATGAGAATTATTCCCTCCATAAAAACACAACCTTCCAGCGACGGGAAGCATCAGAAGCTGAAAGAGGCAAGGCCGGGGTCCTGGCAGGCTCGAGAGGGAGCGTGGCCTGCCGGTGAGCTGACCGCAGGTTTCTGACACCCGAAACTGTGGAGAATAAATCTCTGTCGCTCTTTGTGCTCGCAGGTGCTCTCTCTCTCACACACGTGCACTTTCCCCCTTGTGAGAACACAGCCTTTAGCGAGTGCCAATACTCTTTCTGAAATCACACAGTGATTGACATAGCCATTTCCTCCGGTTCGCCCATAGTTGTGGTGATGTCTCTCTCTCTCCTCTGCAACTCCGTAACAACCAGATATAGGAACAGGAACTCATCATGCTCTGCTGTCCTTGGAGGAAGTTCCTAAGTCTACCAAGTGCTCCAGCACAGGGTATGACCTTGTGGCGACAGTGCCTGAGCCCTTCAGGCAAAGCTATACTGCATCACCATGGTCGCTGATCACTGGCTTGCAACTGTTTGCTGCTTGAAGAAATCTCCCAAGGATCTCTGTCATACAAAAGAGCAAATACTTCGGGGAGACTCCTCCTGCACCTCAGAGTTTGCCAGGAGCATCTGAAAACTAGTTCCGGGAAAATTTTTCCCAAGCGGACACACTGGCCGAGGGTTTGCAGCCACTTCCTAGGAGACTACTACGTTTTCTTCCACATCACCAACACCAAATCCCACCCTAGGAGTCAATTACCAGCTTACTGCATTCGAGGAGATTGGGAAAAACAGCCTCTGAAGTTGGTTAGACAGAGAATTTTTCTGCACCTTCCAAAGCCAAGGAGATTAATGGTAAGGCATACGAAGATCTGAGAATGCCACATCAATCTGACACTTTTCTCTCTGCCACTGTAAACAGTTTCCCTTTATGCCACCAGTACTTTGGCAAAACTTATGCAGCAAACAAGAATGCAAAGCAAAAAATTTCTATTACCGTTGTAGAAATCACTTTATATCATTGCTGTCTAACATCTTTTCATTGACTATCCCAACAGCGCCAAGATTTTGGTTTCAGCTTAAGGACCAGTCAATTCAAACTAGGCAATTTTGGAAACAATTATTTAGCACCAGCGCCTTCATAGAATGTCTTTCACAAATGATTTCTAACCAGCCTGACATACACAGAAAAAAAAAAATCCTCTTTCTCTGATACCCAAAGAAGAAAATCCTGCTTTGAAAATTCAGGGGCTCATTATTTCTTCTAACAAGACCGAGTCTTGATATATTTGAACACATGACCTTTGTGACTGTTCCTAGATTAGCTAAGGCAGAACTACGGGGCTGTTACCTATATAGTTAGCAACTGCAATAAAATCTTTAGAACTACAAACTCCACAAGATTTCAAAGATGACCTGATAAATGTGCTCCCTTAGATCCCAGGGACACCGTGCTGACCGGGTCTCCTGCAGGGACAGCCTCTCTAGGAACACACATGAACGATGTCACTGCTCCATCTTACACAGCTGGCTAGCCAGACAAGATTATTCCCTCCTCGACTTTTCAATGATATCCAAAACATACTCTGTTCAAGTTCTCAAAAACTTCCAGTCCTAAAAAGCCACAGAAATCTCTCCTAAATGTGGACTGTTCATTCTTTCCAGCTGGGGAGTCTCTTTCTCGGGGTAAGGATCAGGAACTCTTACTAAGGGTTAAAATGCCCTTGGCGATAAAGCGAACACATGTCAGAAATAGCAAATGACACCATTTGGACTCTTCCTGAAAGGTGGCAAAAACACCCATGCACCCGGACAATTAATAATATCCAATGAGACATCCAATGACATCAACTCACCCATGAAAGTCACCAGAAACAAACAGTTTTTCTCTATGTCATGTGTATGCATATCCACGTTACCTATGTGTGTTCTGGTTCCTGGAGTCTACTGCCAAGATTTTGGGGAAACAAAGGGCTGATCTTCTGGGTGGGCTGCAGGGGGCTTACCACACTGGTGAGCCACACGTTTTGTTTTTTTTTTTTTTTTTTTTTTTGCAAATGCTGATTGAAGAGCACTCACTAAATACCGTATTTATTTGTCTTGTGGCTTTCGGGGATGGTCGGGGGAGGGAGGAAGAGGTTAGGAGTTTTCAAAACCAAAGCATAAACCAAAAACAGGGAAACATGGCGAAACTGCCAGGATCGTCCTGATTTCTGAGAAATGCTAAACCCTTTCTTCTCTTCCCGGTGCATCCTGTGTTGTGTACTCTCCCTCTTGCACAACTCAGGTCCTGAAATCATCCTCCTTCCTCTCATTTTCAAAAAGAAAAAAGACAAATGTTTTGCTCAAAAGACTCTCAGAGGTGCCACCCACCAAGGCCACCTGAGAAAGAAGACCACAGGACCAGAGGCAGTGCCTGGGACTTCAGGGCCTCTGCTGTCAGGGACACACAACTTCCCAGCGGCCCAGCACAGGCAGCACCGCAAATCCTGGCAGTTGGCAAGAGCAACATCCTGCCTACCTGATTCTAAGTTGAGCACAAATGGCTATGGTTTTAGAGATTCACAAGGCTTTGTGCTATCCCCTCCTCCAGCACCACCACCACCAAAAAAAAAAAAAAAAAACCTTTCAGCTTGTCTAATTAACTTTCTCCTAATTACCTGGCTTCTTAGGAGTGGATAAACAAAGATGGTTACACAGGATACATTCTAACACTTGGAAGCAAACAGAAAGGTACCGAGAAGGGGTTTAGGGATGTAGCCAGTCCGGGACACAGGGAAATGTGTCATGTTGAAGTTTTACATGACAGCAGAAATTAAGTTAGATGGCTAAGCAACCAGGAAAAAAGTTCAAAACAGAGAAGTGTTTCCAGTCCCAGCCTCTCTCAAAAAGAGATGTCACCCATATTCCTGCCGTTGTTACAAAACACCAAGCCAGAAAACCACTTTCCCAAGTAATACTTGGCCATAAAATAGGCAATTCCCTTCAGGAGGCAATTCTCAGCTTACTAACCTACCTGGGTTGCAATACCCTCTCCAAGGTGTTCCCAATAAACCCGATCTCCTTGCCTTGTTTTGCAGTCTTCGGTCTGTCTCTACCTTCTCTATTTCAACAGGTCTCATTTTCCAAAACTTCAATGTGCCAGTGAATTCCTCCTCAAGACTCAGAATTGCAGTATGCCCACAACACGGGGTTCTCAACAATAACCCTCAACACGCTCAGTGCGGTCGAATCGCTTGGGCGTCTTAGGGTTCCCCCGCAATACTCTCGCTCCTGCTCACGCCTTCGAGTTGCTTGCAGAAGGCTTAGGAACGTCACGACGAAATCTTAGAAAGTCGGGAGGAAACCCTATTTCTTGGATGGCAGATGCTATACCTGCGCGAAGACTAGCTGGATGGCAACACCCAGTTACCCTAACTCCAAAACTCGGAAACGCGCGTCTCGCCCACCCCTGCCCCACGCTGGCTCAGCTGCGTGTTCGCCCGAGGCAGGCCCCACAGCTGCAAGTTGTTGACCGTGGTGATGGTAGGCTGATTTTTTTTTTTCCTCCAGGATTCAGGACGCACCACCTAAAAATGTTCACTTCCCTAAATAAAAGTATTATTTAAACATCCTGGCCGAGCGAGCACTCGCGGAGCTCACACGTGGAGCCCCCACATCCACATCCCCCCGAAGTCTGCAACGACCCAGGGTCGGCGGGGGCTCTGACTCAGCAGAAAAGAATGTGGCTGATGAGTTATCTATTAATCCACAACGCCTCAGCTGCAGACCGATTTCCCCCAACAACTTTTTAACGCCGGATGGAGGGCGCAGCAGCCTGAGCCGTCCTGTAGCCAAAACTTTTCCCCAAAACTTATCCATAGCACCCCATTACCACCACCACACACACACACACACACACACACACACACACACACACAGAGCTCTCCAAGACACAGAACCCCAAGCCCTGACCCCTCGGTCCCGATCATCTGGGGTCACCCAGGAGTCAGCTCTCGATTCCGCTTTTAAAATCCTGGGCAGACAAAGCTGAGCATTATACTTAGAGGAGGAAAAAAGTTCAAAAAGTCCTCCAAGTTGCGCAACGTGGGGCACACAGACCCACGCGTGAACACTTACATTTCCTCCCACCCAAAGCCACCTCACCTCTCCGCACCCAGCCGGGGTTTCCGTGCTGGGGCCACTGCCGAAGCCGCCCCGCGTCCCCAGGTCGTGCCCGTCCCAGCGCCACTGCTCACCTCTTCCTCCTGGAGGTTGGCCTCGCTCGGGGTGTTCTCCTTCTCGGCTTTGCCGCCGTTGTTCATCTTCCCGGTCCTCGCTGGCCGGCCAGGGAGCGGCTGGGGGCGCGGGCGCGCTCGCCCTGGCTGTTGCCTTCCCCGGGGCGCCGGGGGTCCCCCTCGGCCGGGCGCCGCACGGGCTGGCTGTGGGGGAGACTCGGCGGCTGGGCTCCCCGCGGCGCGCAGACGGCGACGGGCCACTCAGGAAGTGCGGGCTCCGGACGCGGGCGCGGGACAAGCGAGACAATCGCGCCCGGGAGGGAGACCTGGGAGCGGGAGGGCGGGCGCGAGGGAAGGAAGGGAGGGAGGAAGGAAGGAAGAGAGGATGGGGCGAGGACGCGCGTCCCAGGAGGGAGCCTGGAGAGCTGGGACTGGGGGGGCGGCCGCAGCCCGAGCCTAGCGCGGCTGAAAGGAGGGGATGGGGCGGCCGGAGAGGAGGAGGAGGAGGAAGGGGAGGAGGAGGTGCAGGGAGCCGCAGCTGGGACGCTGGGACCCGGAGAGCCGCTGAGTGCGCGCTCCTGGCCGGCTCTGGGAAGTCCGAGCCCGCAGCAGCTCCCTTTCTCTCGCCTTCCTCCCTCCCTTCTCCCCTCCCTCGCCTCCGCCCTCCCTGGACGTGGGCTACAGACTTTACGCCGGCTGGGATGGGACGGGACCGGGGCCGGCGAAGCCCCTTTGCGAAAGGAGGGGCCGGATGGCGGGCCGGGGAGGGGATGCAGCGCGGGGCGGAAGCGGCGGACCCCAGCCCCGACTCGACGGCCGGCGTTGGGACGGGAGGTGGGAGGGTCAGGTTGCCGGGCGCACGCGGCGCACCCCCAGCCCTTGCCCCTGCTGCGCGCCCCGACTTGGAGAGGGGCTTCGGGGAGCCGGACTCTGGGAAGTGTAAACTTTATGTTTGCTTGCTTTTCACGCAAGATTTGTGCGCTCCAGTCCTCCTGGTCAGTCCCTGGTTCGTCCCCTTGAAGGAGACGGAAGGGGAGGACACGAGGGGGTCGGCAGCAGCGGACCTCCAGCTTTGGCGCCTCCGCCGCCGGGCAGCCCTCACCGGCCCGCTCTGGAATGAATTGTTTACCTGGCCCCGCTCTTGGGGAGCTCCTTCCTGCAAAACAAGCCGGTGCCTTGTTTATCTTTTTAATCCCACGGCTATTTAAATGAGCTTCCTGGTATACAGTAGGCACTCTACAAATATTTGTGGGCCCAGCCGGTGTTCCTGGCTGCCGGCCGCGCTGAAGGTCGATGCCGTTGAACTTTAAATGGTCAGGGGCGTTCTGCAGGGAGCTCTCCCTAGCTGTTCCTGCCGCAACCTCGGGAGAATCGCCGGCCTTACTTCTCTCTTCTGTGAAGTGGGGAGTTCGGGGTGTGGACAGGGAGTAGATGATGGAACGGTGGGCACGTGACTCCTACTACCGGCACTTCTGACCGTCTGAGGTCGACAACGCATGGCTGCTAACCTTATGATGAAGGAAATTACCATCTTTCTAGGCCTAGAGCTTTTGCTCTTGTAAACTTGACTGCTACATATTTTGTAACCTTAAAATTCCAGAGCCGGGGCCCTGGCGTAGCTAGCTAAGCCTCAGCTTGCAGCACCAGCTGGGTGCTAGTGGAGTCCAGGTTGCTCCACTTTGCATCCAGCTCCCTGCTCATGGCCTGGGGAAAGCAAGAGAGGGGGAGACCCAAGTCCTGGGGCCCCTGCACCCACGTTGCAAACCTGGAAGAAGCTTCTGGTTTCTGGCTTCCTATCAGCCCAGCACTGGCCCTGGTGGCTATTGGGAGACTGCACTCTCCTTCTAACTTTGCCTTTCAAATTAAAACAAATCTTAAACAAACAAACAAACTCAAAATACCATGCATGGTTCCCCCTGGGGCTCCCGGGAATTCTTTGCCACCGCCCTTATCACCGTTTCTATTTATTGACCCCCTTTAGTTCCCCTCCCCTCCCCTCAAGTGCTGTGGGGGCGGGGTAGCAGGAAAAGATAAGACTAGGCTTTTAGGGAGCTCAAAATGGTGCTATGGAGACCAGATACCCTAAACAGCTCTGTAGAAACCTGGTTCACATTGCAGAGAAGAAAGGGGGGTGAGGGGAAATACTTACTTCACTGAAGGGCGTCAGAGAGGGAAATACAGTGGGGTCCCCTGGATTTACAAGAGATCTTCACAACATTTACGGAGGAGAACGCTGTGGAAAAAAAAAAAAAAAACTGCAGGAATTTCCCTCACAAAGTTACACTTCAATGAACTTTAATTCCTTCGCCCATCCCATGAACTTTTTGAAGTACCATTGTGCGCATAATGCATTCTTCTTGGGGGAATCTGCAAATTGGGGGAGAAAAGTTTCTTTGGTTAAAAAAAAAAGTTTTTAATGGTGATATTTGCATATAAAATATTTTAAAAAAAGTTTTTGAAGTGCTGTCACATAACCCTGGTTTCTCTAGCAAGGAAAGTTGTGTCCCAGAGGAGACTGAGCCAGGAGCTTGTTGCAAGCGAAGCTGAAGATGTTCAGAACTAGAAGGTTTGTGTCCTGCTCTGCTGATGGTTTGGGGCTGTCCCCCTCTCTGTTATGTGAGGAACTGGGAGGGGACGATGGTTGGGTGGTGCTGGTGGACCAGGTATGGGCGGGGAGGACTGCTCTTGCCCTCCTTACCCACACTGCCTGTTCCTGCACACACACTCCAGAAAGGCATTGTCTCACTGAGCCCCAGGAGACATGACTGGTAGTCTAGTCCTTCCTGTTTGTGGGCAGACCTCACTTCCAGGTTGGTGGATCATGCCCTGTGACTTCAGGATGCTGGGAGAAGCTCCTGCCTCCTTGCAGCCACACGTGGCTTTCTCCTCAATGCAGGAACTGCTACTGCGGTCTTCCAGCCTAACCAGGACTTTGTCCTGTGTTGAAGGCAAGAACCTCTAGGATAAGAAACAGAAGTTAAGTCCTAGGAGGGGATCCTCCTCTGGCTTGCTTGTTTTTGCTTTCCCAAGTTCTAGAAAACGCCAGCACCGTAGAGGCGCTATTGCTTTTGAAGGGATTAAGTGGAAGCAGTTATTGGGTCTCAGGTTTGAGTGACGTTGGGGCCTTATGATCCCATCAGAAGGACTGAATTAGTGGAGGCATCTCAGAACAGAGCCAACTCAAGGGACTCAAGCCAGGTTGTGCCAGGGGTCTTTGTTTATCGAACAGGTCTGTGCAGAATGGAGGATAACTGATGAGATAGGAAGAGAAAAAGGATCACCTCCTCACCCCCATTGAATGGACATTTCTGGCCATGAACTCGGCAAACAAGGGCACCTGCAGTGCACACAGCCAGTGGTGACCAGGCATTCCACTGTGCTCTCAGAAAAGCATTGTGGATGGGAAAACACGCCAGGAAAAGAAGGATTTCTGCTTTCTATCCTTTCCACAAAGAATGGTTTGGACTTATTTGGAAGAACAATCGGGTAATATATTAGCAACAAAAATCCAGGAAAATCTATAAACAGACTTTCACTATTTATAAAACGCCGTGTGACTGGGGGATGAGGGGAGCCAGTCTGAGGGAAAGGAAGGGGCTGGACATTCGGGCAGGATATAAATGATGTTTATGATTTGTTTACTACTTCAAAGAAAGTGAGGTTTTAAGAGTGAGAACTCCTTGGAAGCGATGATTTCCAGGCATGCCCGGAGTTAGAAAACCGTACAGGGATTTGATATTTGGGAAAATAGGGCCAGTGACCAAAAGCGCTATCTGGTCTCGCCCCGGGCCCACCAGACTCCTGCTGACTGAAGTTCTAGCCCAGATCAGGATGGAAGTACCACAGGCACCTGTAGCTTTTATTACTCATCATGGTCTTCTGGCAGTTTCTTCAGAGGCTCACTTTAAGAAATCCAAACCCGTAATTATGTCTTAAATGTTTGTCTCTGGAAATTGCAGACATTAAAGGGCTATTCTTAGGCTATTTGGTGCGGGCTTTGCCGCTGACCTAGCCTTGTGGCAGAACACTACAGTATCCACTCCATGAGCCGGGATGATGGATGCTCCTCTTGGAGCCCCCGGGTCTGTGTTTTGGTGTCGTTTGCCATTTTTGGCATGTGATTCTCATCACCCCCACCCCACCTTCCTTCAGGCCATCACCAACTTCCCTGATCAGCTGACTTTAAGCAAGTGGACCCTTGTTTTATTTTTATATAATCATTTGAGAGAGAGCATTCCCATCCACTGGTTTACTCTCCAAGTGTCCACAGCAGCCAGGAGCCAGATCCTCCCCATGGGCGGCAGAGACGCTGTCCCAAGAGCTATTGGCACTGCCTCCCAGGGTCTGTGTCAGCAGTCAGCTGCAATCGGCAACCATAGCTGGGTAGTCAAACCGAGGCATTCTGATACGGGACTCAGGTATCTTAACCATCAGCTCAACCACCTGGCCAAATATCTGCTCCTGTTTACCTTTACTTGTAGCAAAAAGCATAGCAAGCATTGACCACTGTAACCATTTTTAAATAAGATTTATTTATTTATTTTTATTGAAAATCAAATATGCAGCGAGGAAAAGACACAGGAAGATCTTCCGCCCATTGATTCACTCACTCTCCAAGCGGCCACAATGGCCGGAGCTGAGCCGATACAAAGCCAGGAGCCTCTTCTGGGTTTCCCACACAAGTGCAGGTGTCCCAAGGCTCTTGGTAAACCTTGACTGCTTTCCCAGGCCACAAGCAAGGAGCTGGATGGGAAATGGAGTTCCCAGGATTAGAACCGGTGCCCATATGGGATCCTGGCACATTCAAGGTGAGGACTTAAGCCTGAGGCCATCATGCCAGGCTGTACCATAATCATTTTTAGGCATGCGGTTCAATAGTGTTAAATATACTCACATCATTGCGATTGTTATCACCTAAATCCTTTTGAGAGCGACTCACTTCCCCTCTAAGAAGCCGTGTGCAGAAGCCCAGATGGGAGGAAATGGAGGAAACCAGCTTATAGCCCCAGCAGGACTCCCCATGGGCAGCCAGTGCTGCTTTGGGAGCCTCGGGAGTGAGCAGGGAACGGACGCTGCAGGACCCACAGAGCTGCCCCAGCTGATGCCACGCGCATGCCAGATGAACTTGCTTCTTCAGCAAACATGCCCAGTTTGCAGCGTCGGCAAATACATAGATATTGTTTTAAACTC